TCTTATTGAAAGTGAAATGTCTATTGTATCTGAGTTTAACTTATGTGTCCCATCTTCTATGAGGGACAAAATTGTCTTTCTTGTAACTCAAGTTTTTCATGAATAAAAGTCAAKTGGGTCGGCTAGGAGAGTGACTTTTGAACATCCTCTCTTCTAGTCTGGTCGAACACTCTTCTCCTCTTCTTCTTCTTCTTTCTCTTTCTCTTTTCTTTCTTCTTTCTCTTTCTCTTTTCTTTCTTCTTTCTTCTTCTCTACTTTGACCTAGAAACAACTAGGGTTTATTCACAGGTGTCATTCCAGCAGCCGATTGATAGGTCGAGTAGAGTTGTACCAGAATTCTGCCCACGGAAGCCTGTGAGCCCACTGTCGGGGCTTTTCTCCTGCGAAACATCTAAGGTAGGCTTCCAAGCAACAATTAAGAACTTCAGTCTGCATTAGTCTGCAGGTGATAACTCGTGGAAGGGTGCATTTGCGTTCCTTGCAACCGAAAATATTCCTTCTAGAATGAACTCGGGAAAGCAGGGTCCCAATCTGAAACAATGGATCTTGGGGTCCCATGCAGCTTGGCGACATCCCGGATGAAGATGTCAGCCACCATAGCTGTGGTGTTAGGGTGAGGTAATGTAGAGAAATGGTTGTACTTGGTGAGACGGTCAACCACTACCATGATAACCGCCTTTCTTGCAGAACGAGGAAGACCCGTGATGAAGTCCATGGAAAGGTCTTCCCACACCTGATCTGCAATCTTGAGAGGTTGCAAAAGGCCAGCGGAGGACTGTGAGGAGTATTTCTGCTATTAGCAGGTTTGACATTTAGATATATACTATAATACATCCTTACGCATTCCAACCCAATGACAGTGGCTGCTGAGCCTCTTTATGGTCCGTAGCACCCCTGGGTGTTCTCCCAAGGCGGAGTCATGAAACAACCTTAGCAGTTCAGCTTTGTGGGCCAAATTTTGGGCAACAACAAACTGACCCATGAAGAAAAGATCAGGCCCCACAACTTGGTAACCAGCAACTTGTGAAGGGTCTCAATTCCACTTATCTCTAATGGCCTGCAACTACGGATCAGACCTGACTTCTTGTCGTATAGCTTCAAATAAGGAAAGTTGGCTGAGAGAAGGTCACCTGGGCTAACTCTTCTACTCGTGACAATGCATCAGCTACTTTGTTTGCGGGCCCCGACTTATATTCTATGAGGTAATCAAAACCCATCAGTTTACTAAGTCATTTTTGTTGCTCCGGGGTGTGCACCCTTTGTTCTGCTATGTACTTCAAACTTCTTTGGTCGGTTCTAATAACAAACTGGCGTCCCAAGAGGTATGCACACCACTTTTGCACTGCCATCACCACAGCCATCATTTCTTTGACATAAGTGGACTGACTTTGGTGAGTTGTTGAAAGAGCCTTGCTGAAATAAGCAATGGGCTGCCCTCTTTGCATCAGGACAGCCCCTACTCCTACAACCGACACATCACATTCTATTTCAAAGGGCTAAGAGAAGTCTGGAAGAGTGAGGACTGCAGAGCTGGAAACTACTGTCTTCAACTCTTCAAAAGCCCGTTGGGCTTCATCAGTCCACCTGAAGGAATCCTTCTTTAATAGACGCGTTAGTGAGGCGGCCATAAGCCCATACCCCTTAACGAAGCGCCTATAATATCTAGTAAGCCCAAGAAAGCCCCACAGTGCTTTTACAGTAGTGGGCTTGGGCCACTTCTGAATGGCTTCTACCTTTTCTGGGTCTGCCATGACCCAACCCGTTGCAACCACGTGGCCCAAGTACTGAATTTGTCCTTGCCCAAAGGAACACTTTGTCATTTTGGCATGTAACTGGTTTCTCCTTACAGTTGTGAGGGTGAGTTTCAGATGTTCCATATGTGTGTCTCAATCCCTGCTATACACAAGAATATCGTCGAAAAACACCAAAACAAATTGCCTTAGAAATGGCCTAAAGATGTCATTCATGATGGCCTGAAAGGTGGAGGGGGCATTTGTGAGTCCAAAAAGCATAACCAAGAACTCATAATGGCCATCGTGGGTCCTAAAGGCCGTCTTGTGGAAGTCAACCTGGTGGACCCGAATCTGATGACACCTGGAGCACAGGTCTAATTTGGACAACACTCATGCCTCCACTAACTCATCTAGTAGTTCATCAATAAGGGGTAAAGGAAACTTGTCCTTCACAGTAATCTGATTTAAGGCCTGGTAAACTACACAAAAGCGCCAAGTACCGTCATTCTTCTTTCCTAAGAGTACAGGAGATGAAAAAGAGTTGGTGTTGGTCTGTACGTGCTCTTTTTCCAATAGCTCTCTTACTGCCTTCTCAATTTCCAGCTTCTGAAAGTAAGGGTATCTATATGGCCTCACATTGGCCGGATTAGAACCAGGTAAAAGAAGCATTTGATGATCACAAGTCCGGGATGGGGGTAATTGGTTCGGCCCCTCAAATACATTGCCAAACTGATCGAGTATCGACCGTAGGGCCCCGTGTTGGGCTTCAGTTGGGGGGACACAGCCCTAGTTGTCCAGAACTGGAACTGTGGGCCAAAGGCTAAGTGCAAAAATATGGGTTGGTCGGCATTTTTGGAGGCCCGTATCATGGAGGTTAAAGTATCACTTCATGGGCCTGGGGGCTGCACCCCCTATAAATGACAAGATTGGCCATCCTGGTGAAAATCCATTGTCATTTTGGCACAATCACATAGAGCAGGGCCCAGACCATGCAACCAATGAACCCCCAATATAATATCAGCCCCCGAGAAATCCAATGGGTGGAGATCCACCACAAAATTATGGCCCTATATGAGGATTTTCTCCTTCTTACATACACCATTACATGACATCTGACTCCCATTAGCCACATGGATTGAAAAGAGAGGGGTGGGTTGTATGGTCATACCTAGCTGCATAGCCAAACGGCAAGTGATGAAATTCAGGGTGGAGCCACTGTCAATCAAAATCATCACGGTCTGGCCCATCAATCTTCCTTCTACTCGCATGGAATGAAGAGAGTTGAGGCCCATGAGGGCATGTAAGGAGATCTCGGCACCGTCAGGTTCTGGCCCATCTGGAATCAGTTCACATTCAGTCAAGTGCTCTGGGTCAGCCTCGTCCGTCTCTTCCTCTGTATGTAGGAGAAACACCCACTAGACCCGGCATTTATGGCCCGGTCCAAACTTATCATCACAGTTATAACAAAGGCCATTCTCACGTCGGGCTTGCATCTCAGCCCACGAGAGGCGCTTGAAAGGCATAGTGAACCGGGGCAGTATGGGTTTCTAAAAATCACCAACCGGTTTCATGGGCTGCTGGTCGACCCGTGGAGGAGTCTTCAAAATCGGGTAGGGTGGTTTGCTAGCTCAACGAAGGTTGCCAATTCTTTCTTCTTGCAGGCAAGCTAACACCACTGCAGCCATGACAGTCGTCGAACGGAGAGCTCTCACCTCCAAGCGGATATCCTCTTGAGTCCTCCTACTAAGGCCTTCTCCGGCCAACCGTGCACCCTGATCGCCATCCGCTCGAACTCGAGCTGGTACTCTGCTACCATTCTAGTCTGCTTCAGCCGGGTGATCAGATCATCATAGTCCACGAACGCCGTCGGCCCAAAGCAGATGCACAAGGCTTCGGTGAACCCCGACCAAGTTACTTGGGGATGATTCCGGCAATACCATTGGAGCCATAGAATCGCGTCTCCTTCTAGATGAATGGAGGCAATTGAGACATGCTGGTGAGCAGGAGTTTCATGGTACTCGAAATATCTTTCTCCACCGGAATAGTTGGGAAAATTGATCTTAGTGAATTTTCCGATGGGGTAACCCCTGTCCTTTGTTTATTGGAAGCAGAGGCTTCCACTCCTGCTAGGTGATGGTCTTGCCAAATTGTTGCTGAGAGGCGATGCTGGAGACGAACTCTGAGTTCCTTGAGTTCGTTCACCATTTGGTGAAGCCCGACCTCAATTTGGTCAACCATTTCATCCACGGTAGAAGAACGTGTCTGTGGCATCGTGAAGCCTGGGATTTGGATTGCAGGGTCTGATACCAAACTAATGAGTTACCGCTCACCTCGAAAGCCCCTTCAAGGGTGGTTTAACCTCCTGAAACAGAAGATGGAAGAGAAAGGATGGGAGGAAGAAGATAACAGAGAGAGAGAGATAAAAAGGGATATTCATTCACGCCACTTATTACGTGATCATGGCCTTATATAGCTAGCCTACATGTATGCAATCATGAAGAGAATATCTTCTGGTGGCAGTGTAACTAACTCTGGAAGGCTCCATCACGTGGCATGCTAGCCTCTCTGTCTTCTAGTGAAATGCTGCTCAATGGAGGTCTCCTCCACACCTATAGTTGGGTTCAAAGGAAGTGTTTGGGTCCCAACATACTACAAATAACATAAGGTGCAATTATGCACACAAATATCCATTTAATTTCAACACCATCAGTAGAAGCCAATATTGTGGAGGAAACTAGAAAGCCTAATAATAGCAATACAGATATATTATTGATAGCATGTGACAGCATACAGCAAGAACAATGGCAATATACTTCCTACTAAAGTTCATGCAATGTGAAAAGTGAAAACATAAGAACGCCAATGCAAACATGCAGTAGCACATTACCTGATGCAGTTCCATTAGTTCTTGGAGACAGTTACTAAGAAGCACCTTCTTTATGCATGCTTTACCTGTCAAGAAGGAAGCCAAGTAACTGTTAACGTTTTAGCAAATCAAAGATCATTGAGCTACCAAAACAAAACAAGTTTAATAAGGGTAAAACCACGTAAGGGGAAACCTTATTGACATCAAATATGAATTTGACATCTGTACCCAACACCCATCTGATATTGTCAATATGCCCCAAATGACACAGTTGGCTAAAGAGTTCCCACTTGCATGCATCCCCTTTAGTTGAGCCATGACCATAGTTGTTAAGGCATCTAGGCGATTCTGGGCGACACTAAGGTGCCTAGTCACCTAGTTGTTGAGACAATAAAATTTTTATAATATAAAGAATTAATTTTTGGCTAGTTCCCTAGTTTTATATACCGCTCAGCATGCATATTAATTCAAACAATAGCAAGTCACTTCATTAAGAACGTTAAATTTCCTCTAAAAATGTGGCAAATTATCATATCTAAAAGATAAAAAATCTTTTAAATCTATTAATTTCATTGCTTTCAAAAATAATACTACTATAATTATTTAATAGGGCAGTTTCATAGCAATTGGCAACTAAAGAAGGTTATTAACTTTATAATATAAAAACTCAAGATGGAAAATAAAATAGGAAAAAACAAGGATGGAGTTGCTATTTTATTTAATTGATGAGTGGGAGAGAGATTAGGAAAAAAAAACTTCTCTACACTTCTTTTCATTCATTCTTTCTATTTTCAAAACCTTCGATCTTTTAAATTTCAATAATAAAACATTAAAACAAAGTATAAATGATATATATATAGTGTATAATAGAATGTATTAACACAGAATAATAAGATGCAGCAATATAAATGATATTATAATAAGGTGCCTGCCTTGTCATTTTTGTTGCCTAGGTGGGTGCCTAGTTGCTATAACTCAAGATGTTTGAGCAAAGCGCCCGGCCAAGGGTGCCTAGTCGCTTAGGCAATGCCTTGACAACTATGACCATGACCCAAAAGGGCCTAAAGAAAGTTTCAGATTATTTTAACGGAAATCATCCAAGAAAATATAAACTGCAATTTATTAAATATTTTGATAGAAATTGCCCCTTCAAATTCAAATCTATAAATTTCAGTAAATAATTGCTAGAATGAGTTGAAGTATTTCAGAATGATTTAAGGGCTCATAATTTAACAATGGATATAGCATGAACAGAGTGGAATGGCAGAACAAGATTCATGTAAAAATTAAAAAAAAAAAAAAAACCATATAGTTCGGACAAGGCTTAGTAAGTTGAGTTGAATTACTAGAGCCAACAAAACTCACATGAAAAGTGATAAAGAAACTTGATTGTGGAATGAAGAGGTTCAAAATATAATCAGATTAAAACAAGCATGTTATAAAGAGGGAGAAAAAGAATTTTTGAACTAGCAATGATAAGAGAAAGGAACGGGAAAGATTTAAACCATGTCAGGTGTATTAAAGGGAAAGATGAAAGAGTCTTAATAAGAGATGAGGAAATCAAGGAAAGATGGAAAAAACTGTTCCGAAAAATTATTAAATGAACACTAGCAAAGGAAATACTAGTCATATTAATACTGTTGGAAATAACATGTACTTTCACAAAATTAGAATTGCTAAAACGAAAGAAAGGAAAGATAGTATAGAGGGAGATGAAAGTGGGCAAATCCTTGGGTCTGTTCTTCTAGAGAAGACTTTGCAAGAAAGCCATTTGAACAGTTTGAGAGAGATAGAAGGGAGGAAAAAACTTAAAGAAAGGGGAGAAGAGCAGAGAGAGTAGAACAAAGAAGGGGGTGAAGAGGAGCTGTTGGGTGAGATATGTGAAGCGTCAATCCCTTTGGGTGGAAGGAATCAGGTAGAGGGGGGAAGGATGAGGGTGCAAAGCCAGAATGAGAGAGGTTGAGGGAGAGAATGAGGAGAATTTTGGAGAGAAACCTGATCAGATGTCAGAATCCAATGGTTGTTTTGTTACAGGAAACAAAGCTGGAGTCTTTTGACGTTGGTTTGAAGGAGGTGTTTTGGGGGAAAAGCAATGGGGATTGGTTGGAGCTGAATGTAGAGGGGCTATCAGGGGGTTTAGTAAATATGCAAAGTTCACTCGGAATTTCCACAGTTTACTGTTTGGAGTCGAGTATTTCAGCCAAGATCAAAGCAGAACATTTCTCAGTTTGGCCAAGCATCTGTGGCAGAAGGGCAAAGACCTTTGGATCTGTATCCCTTCTGTGGTTGGTTGGGCCCTGTGGAATGAAAGGACCGGAAGAGTATTTGAAGATAAATCTAAAAACATTGAAATACTTGTGGCTTTGGTAGGAAAGTGGTGGATTCGGCTTGGGTGCTTCCAGAATTGGCAAATTAGTAATTCAGATATGGGGGAGAATTTTGGAATACCCTGGATTATCATTTATAATGCTTTTAAGTATTCAGTATGTAATTTTATCTTTTGTATGGTGAGGTGACCTCTTGCCACCTCCTTGTCTGTACTTCCTTCTTTTGTTTATTGATTTTTTTTTCTTTTTACTCATCAAAAAATAAAATAAAATGAAGGAAAGGCATTAGGACCAGATGGTATTCCAACAGAGGTGTGGAAAGATATAGGAGAGGTAAGCTCACTATGTCTAACTAAGCTATTTAATAAGATAATGAAAGACAAGAAGATGGCTTAGCGAAATGTGGTGCGCTCTTAGAGCATCTATATAGCGACAAACTTCCTCCTTTGTAAATTGTAGGGGTTCTCCCCCTGCTTTGTTCACCTCCTCATGTATCTCGTTCTCTTATCAATGAATATTGATTAACTTTTCTCAAAAAAAAAAAATGAAAGACAAGAAAATGTCCGATGATTGTAGAAAGAGCAGTATACCTATATTAAAGGATGAAGGTGATATACAAAGTTGTGAAACTTTGGGGATTAAACTAATGAACCGCATTATGAAACTTTGGGGGAAATAGTTGAGCAATGGTGTGTCATGAAACAAGTATATTGAAGAACCAATTTGGATTTATTCCAAGGAAACCAACCATGGAAGCTATCTTTCTTTTGAAATAATAGATAAAAAAAAATAGAGACAAAGATACATCTCCATATGTTGTTCATTGATCTAGAGAAAGCATATGATAGAATCCCTAGAGAGGTAAAATGGAGAGTCTAGAAAAATAAATGAGTCTCCAATAGGTATACAAATCTAATTAAAGATATGTATAAGGGTGCAATAACCAATGCCAGAACACTTGTGGGAGAGACATTAGATTTTGCAGTTATGGTGGATCTTCACCAATGTTCAGCACTTAGCCTTTGTTTATTTGCATTGATCATAGATTACACGCCTCTAAACATATTTCGGAGGAGGTCCCATGGTGCATGTTATTTGTTAAAAACATTGATCTAATAGATAAAGCAAATGAAGGATTAAATCAAAATTAACTTTATGGATGAATACCCTAGAAATAAGTGGTTTTAAAACAAATAGGACTAAGACAGAATATATAATATGTAATTTTAGTAATAATAAGAGTGCAGATCAAGATGCATTTAGGATAGGAGATCGAGAAATAAAGCAGTGTAACCTTTTCTGGTACCTTTGTTCAGTAATGCATAACAAGGGAGAGATTAAGGGTGTTGCCCAGAATGAGAGAGGGATGGGCAAAATGGAAGAATGCACCGGGAGTTTTGTGTGATAGGCGTGCCACTTTGATTGGAAGGAAACTTTTATAGAACAGTTGTAAGGCCAGTTGTGCTATTTGAAGCATAACATTGGGAAGTCAAGAAAGTGTGGCAGAAATTCATGCAAAGATGGATGTCAAAAAACTATAAAGGATAGGGTCAGAAAGTCATTAAAGAAACTAGGAGTAGCTCCAACAGGTGATAAAATGAGAGAAAGTAGACTAGGATGGTTTGGTTACATGCATAGAAGACCACCAACAGCACCTGTAAGAAGAATTGATCTGTTACAAGTTGAAGGGACTAGAAGGGCTAGGTGTAGACCAAAAAGGACATGGGTCAAAGTAGTTAGAAATTATTTAAGTGTCCATAATTTAACAATGGATATACATTAATGTTGCCAACCCCATATAGTTGGGAATTGGGATAAGGCTTGGATGGTGATGGTTAATTGAATATGAAATTCAGATTCTTTTTATGAATTAAACTCATATATCATCTCCGAGTTATAACCAGAAGCATTAACAAACCTCGCCTGTGAGGATCACAAAAGAAAAAGAATTTGCGTGCAGCTATGCGGCAGTACATTTGAACAAAGCCAGCAGGCATATCTCTAAGTTGTGCCAGATTAGGAATAAGGCCTCTAATGTAGGCCTCCATTTCCTGGAAAGAATAAAATAATATATAAAAATGTGATGTGACACTAATAAATTGCAAAGAACTCCCAAAGTAAATCAGGTCATTCTAGAATATGCTCAATAAGTGCAGGGAGTTCATACATGAGTTTGAAGGAAACCATCAGAATCCTCATCAAGCTCACTCATATCAATTCTTGCCTGAGTGAGGGAAACCTGAAAATAGCAAGGAGCAGTAAAACGTGATGCACTGCATTCTAATAAAGATGTGTGAAACTTCTAATTTAACATACAGAGCGCAATCAATTCAGAGAAACTAAATCCAAATCATGAATTAGCCACTGAACTTGGGAAGCAGATCAGTAGCAGAAGTTGTATAAAAATTTGAAAAGGGCCATATTCCCCAGTTGGTGTATAGGGCCAAACTGTAAACTACCATTCTGGCTAGAACTAAAATTTCTCTGTGTTTGTTCTGATATAGCATCTTGTGGAGGATCATATTGCCCTAATTTGCAGATACAATCTACCCACAATCGCATAATGAAACTACTGTTCTCTACAGTCATTGGAGACAAATGGCTTCGGGTGTAATATAGTTAGTGTGTATTCTGTTCACATGTTCCATGGGAACGACCATAACATTAGTAAGTGTTTCATTCATTAACTTTAATGTTAAATTCCAGATTTTGTTGACTCAAGGATGTCACTCAAGCAGTTTGTGGCCAAACTTTTCCCTATTAAGAAATAACAACAGAAAAATGCCACAGACAGGCAAACAAGCATGCACACACACACAGAATGATGCAGTCATCAAAGCAAGGAAATATATAATGGAGGTTATACTTTTGATCAGTTTGAATTTTCTTCATAATTTTTTATTGGCAATTATTTTCTGCTTCATTAGTGTCTTATAATAGGTTTAATTGTCTTAAAGTGTCAAACCAGTTTAAAGAGTCTTGTCAGAGATTTTAAATTTCGAAAAGCTGAAGATGTAATCACGTCACTTTTCTTTTAGCCTATTTTTCAGGGGATCCAAACATGTCTATTTTGTGCAATTCTGGTGTCATTAGAAGGTAATTCAGTTACCTAACCAATGAGGCCAAGACAATGTAAGTTCAACATGTTTTAAGAGAGTTACGGCTATTTTACTGATGGGGTATCAAATCTATCACGGGTTCAAGTCTTTCTATTTTTGTAGCCTATCTTAAATTTACTTTTGGTTTGTCTTTTTTTAGTTGCATTACTAGTAGGTTTTTAGAGCCGCTTTAAGAACTTGATCCTTATTTGAGTACCCCTACAGGCTACCTATGGGTTCGCCTTAGTTTTTTTTTTAATTAGTTTTTTTTATAGATAAAATTCAATTGATTTCATTAGAAGCAAATGATAAAGTGTTCGTTACAAGCATCCCAAAATGAGGCACGAGGTGCAGCCTCACTCATTGATATAGAAACATCATAAATTTACAATTGGGCCCAGTACAACTGTTCCCTAGTTACCCCTTGTTTAGCTAGAGAATCAGCAAAAGCATTTGCCTCCCTCCCCAACCACTGTATAGTTACCTCCATCTGCTGAGTTAACCATTTGAATTTCTTCAATTCATTTCTGTAAGCCCAGATCACTGAATCTGGGTTTTTTAGCCATCCCACCACCACCTTGGAGTCCCCTTCTATCACAAGGTCCACACCATTGCTGCTCTAGTGTACCTCCACATTACTCTTCCCCTCTTCTTCAGTAACACAAAGGAAGATGGGTCGAACAACATTTTTATCTCTGTTGGCATATTCCACCTGCACCCAAACAAAGAGAAAAACCAACCCCATATATCTGTAGCAAATGAACAAGAAAATAGTAAATGGTAACAAGATTCACCATCAGATTTTCATAGAGTGCACCAATTCGGGGAAATACATAGAAAAGGCCTTTTCTTTTGCAAATAATCCAGTGTGTTAATTTTCCCAAGAGCCACTTCCCAATAGAAGGCCTGAATTTTAGGGGGAATCAACGGAAACCACACTTCTTTCCAAGTAAAGGGCAAAGAGGAAGAGGACTGACAAAGAGCTTTAAAAAAGGAGGCACAAGAAAAAGAACTTTTAGAACTTGGGAACCAAATTCTTCTATCTGGACATGAAAGCTCTAAGCAAACACTATCAAGGAGAAGGAGAAGCTCTGACAGACAAGTTGCTTCCTCATCCCTCAAACCCCTACAAAATCTGAGATCCCAATTAAAATTCAAAGACAAAGAAGAAAGAACCAAAAAAATTGAAATGACCTTATTTTTATAAAACAAAATAGAATACAAAGAAGGAAAAACCTCCTTTAAAGGCCGGTCACCAAACCAAGTGTCTTCGCAGAAACGAATTAAATTCCCTGATCCAACATCATACCTGATGTACCTGAGAAACTGAGGGAGGAGACTATGAATTGCCTTACAAGGTGGTGCCAAGGTAGCCCTACGTTTTGTTTTTAGTTAGTTTCCTAGAACAGAAGTATGTAGATTGATTGGGCATTAACAAAAGTATGAAGATGGGCCATGGGGAAGTTGTGGGGGCTTTGTGGTCATCATATTCCTATTTCATGATTGATTGGGCTGCCGCAACAATTATGGCTGTTCAAGATCTTCTGAAGGAAGGTCCTCCTCTAAAAAGAGGAAACCTTTTCGACTTACCTGATTTCATCTCGATCTGACTGGAGTAATAGAGTAATGGAGAAGAATCCACATGGAACTAACTTACTCATGATTGTGTGAATTTTTTTTCCAAAAGCTTTGAGTCAGTGAAGAAGGTCCCGTTTTTGCTGGAAGAATGAGGGCCAATACTTGATTGATCTAGGAAGTCCCTGGAATTAGACCAAAAGTGAGCTCTAGGAATGTAGCAATAAGTCACATTCAGTTATGGGTTTTTAACACTTGTTGACCTTGCTTGAGCTTTAAGAGCAGAGTGGGTTTGAACGCAAAAGGTTTTTGATACTTGTTGCACAAGTGGGACACCAAGTTCTCATTCAGTTTCAAAAGGATCAGGTCTCTATTATTTGAGTAAATTGCATAGAACCAACAACCAAGGAAGAAGACACTGTTTCGTGGCTGTAGTTCTTGTGCTCGAAAAGTAGGGTAATATTTTGGAAATTTAATAACAGTTAAGTACACTTTTGTCCTTTACGTTTTATCCATTAGATTTAATGTTTAAAAGGTCAACAAGGTAACATGTAAGTAGGTTTTGAAACTACAGGGTATATATAAGTAGTTTCCTCAAACCCCAGGGTATATATAAGTAATTGACCCTTAAAACATTGATTCTACCTGATGTGGCGTAATCCGGCTGCTCCCTGCTGGATATGACCTGGCTACCAGCAACGATGAGAATTGGGTTCCTGAAAGAAATGAGTCAGAGATCCCGGGGTAGCTCACCCGGCAAGGATACTCCGATGGCTAAGTTAGAACACAGTGGTAGTAGAGAGCTTGAAGATGATAACAGTGAGAGAGCTAGAGAGTGAGGATTCCACACACAACAATAATAATAGAACATACCTTCGCCCCTGGGGGGCGGAGTCTTTATATACTGGGGTCCATGCGGGTTGGTGGTACGGTTACTAGATCCCAGCTGTGATGGGACTTGTTTGCGTGTTAGGTGGGCGGAACGCCGTCAAACGGTAATATTGTCCCTTCCTGTCAGAACCGGAGAGTTGGTGAACTAATGTGACCGTTACAAAGTACGGTCCTATGGGATACAAAGTACGGTGGTGTGTTCCTCGAGGTTGCCATGCGGAGGTCTGAACGGTAGGCGAGCTGCCTATAGGATATCGGGTTGTTTGATGGCGAGCTGATTGGTAACGAGCTTCTCGAGCTCGTGCTCCTTAGGTCCGCCCTGCCATGAATGCCGAAGTGCCCTTGGACCAAGGTGATCCATCTGTCCGGGCTCGATCTGTAACGAACTTGGTTCCGTTATCCAGGTCGCGATCTAGTACCGGGACAATCTTAGCCCGAAGTGACTTTAGTTCGGGGTACTAGCGTACCCTAGCTCGCTTTGTAGCGAGCTGATTTATGCTGAGTTGTCACCCATGTTGAGTCATGTCCACGTGCCGATCTAATTACGTCGAATTGTCACTTATGCCGAGTTACGTCCATGTGTCTCCCTGTCACGAGGTCGGGCCAAATTCTCCTTCATCAATTCCCCCCCACTCCTCGAGCTAGGGGTCCTGACATGGTTTGAGGAGTTCCCGATACACCAAGTGGATTTGGCTCGAAGTCTAGGTGCTCTGTCAGATGGGTCGCGTGCGGTTCACACGCGGACGTCAAGCGACCTCGAGGGTCGTGCAGCCGATTTTTTTAGGAGCCGTCGGATTGCTTTGATCATGACCGTTGCTTCTTCGATACAGTGGCTATAAATAGGGAGACCCAAGACTCATTTCCTTCGCCACAAGCTTACTAGTCTTCGATCTGAGGTCGCGCTTAGCTTCTTTAGCTCGGGTTTTCTAGTTCGCCACTTCCCTCTAATCCGGTTCTCTCTTTGGTGAGTCTCCTTTCGCTTTTCTTTTCAGTTATGTTCAGTTCATGTCTTCTTCTTGTTTTGATAGTCTTCTTGATGAGGCCGAGGAGGGTACCTCGGCCCAGGTCGGTAGCCGAGACGAGGCTACTCCGGGCTCAGAGGAAGTCCGTGACCTTCCCGAGGTACAGGCACCCGGGAGGCGCGAGAGGCCTCGGGTAGTCTGGCATCCACTTCTCATCAAGATAGGGTGCCGGACAACTTTGGCCCTTCAACAATGACCTTGGACCGGCTTCAGGCCTTAGTTCGCCGGTATAACCTCCCGAGAGAGTTCTCCTACAGTCTCCCCTTAGGTAACTTCCCTTGGGAACACGATCACAATGAGATCGTGATTTTTGAAGAGCAACTCGTGGCTGGACTTTGTCTTCCTTTGCACCCTTTAGTTGTAGAGGTCCTAAAGTCTTTCAAATTTACCATAGACCAGTTACACCCGAACTCCATCCGCAATGTAGTAGGGACCATCTCACTTTTTTACGAGTACTGTCTTCCCCTCGACCTCGAGATTTATTCTTCTATTTTGTCCATTAAGAAAAACTATTCTTGTGCTCTTCCCGAGCATAGGAGAACCTATTACCTGTCTCCTCGCCCGAGCTATAAGCTACTGCACGAACTCCCCAATAGGATCCCGGCCTGAAAACGGGATTACTTCGTGGTTCGTAACCCCAAGGGGTGGCCCTT